GCTGGGGCAGCTGTCAAAATTCATCTGCTCTTGTATAAAATAAAAGGGCATGGGGTCCCCCATCTATTGTGAAGCGAAACAAAACAGAAAGCACACCAACCTTGTGCATTACCTCAGTAAACCAAATTTTATTGAATACAGAATAATACTCACAAACAGCGAAGTAAATCAAGCATGTAAGTCCTCAAGGGAACTTTAGAATAGTAGAGCTCTGATGAAGAAAGCCCCCCCTTCGAAACGCGTCAGCTGTATCCTGAGTGTCTACCCCTATGATGGGACTCACGCAGGCTCTACTATTCTAAAGTTCCCTTGAGGACTTACATGCTTGATTTACTTCGCTGTTTGTGAGTATTATTCTGTATTCAATAAAATTTGGTTTACTGAAGTAATGCGCAAGGTTGGTGCGCTGTTTTGTTTCACTTCACAGTACTGGTCGGGCTTCCCCAGCCTTGTTTGGAGCTGCTCAACCCCATATGCACTGGTGGTTGAATTTTACAGTTCTGGTTCAATCTATCCACCCCTTCCTGGGTCTCAGAGCGCAGGAGAGTTCAGTTCTGGTCCCCCCATCTATACCAACCCTTCAGGTTTGTTATGGATTTTGAAGGAAACCCCTATGTCAACATTTTTAAAATTAATGGTGTGGGGGTCCCCCCCAAAATCTATACCAGACCCTTATCAGAGCATGCAGCCTGGAAGGTCAGGAAAGGGGGGGGCGAGCCCCCCCAACCACAACAAGCCAATTGCCCTGAACATAGGGGGGTGCTTTGGGGCAGGAGACCCCCACCCAAACCACCTTGCCCCCATGTTGATAGGTACAAGGGACTCTTCCCCACAACCATGGCCAGTGGTTGTGGGGGGCTGCGGCAGAAGGGTTATTGGAATCTGGAAGCTCTCTTTAACAAGGAAGCCTCCAGATCCCCCCCCCCCCCTTGAGAATGAGTATGGGGTACATGGGATCGCTACTCATACACAAAAAAAAAAAGTGTAATGCAAAAAATGACAGTAGACAGTCTTTGACAAGTTCTTTAGTAAAACAAAAATAAAAAAAAATGTCCCCTGAAGTAGATCCAATGTCAATCACGATGCCCACCGCCACCGCTGACCTGAAAAAAGAAAAGCTGACAGCTGCACCGGCCTGACAGTTCTTAAATATCTAAGGGGTGGAGCCACCCGGTGATGTCAACTAGGTGACCCCAATTCTTTGTGACGTCATTGAGCTGTTATTGGCCAAAGCATTGCATCTGACCTGTGGTCAGGTGCATTGCTTTGGCTAGTCACAGTGCACTGTCAGAGCACAGTGCATTGTGGTGTGTGGTGAGCGAACAGCACGCCGAACGCCCTTTCCATTTGTTTGTTCGCCAAATACATGGCCGAATAAAACGGCTGATGTTCGAGTCGAACTTACGTTTGTCAATTGTAAATAACTTTGCCATGCTTTCTACCAGAAACATAATTTTTGTGTAAATTTTAAATGGGAGTAATTAGTAATAAAATGTACACTTTTATTTTCAGTAAAACTGCTTTTCTTTAAAAAAAAAAAAAGTCAAAATAGAAAATTTCCATTTTCTACCTATTTTTTCAAAAGTATATCACCAAAATAAAGCCTAATTTTTCACCCATATGTATGTATTACTTTATTATCTTAAGTAATGGCAAAGTCATAACCTAATAAACCTAGTAAACAGATGAATAGTGGAAATATAGAAACTGCATAAGGTACAAAGGTATAAGAGCTGAAGAGGTGAAGTGTAAGACTTTATGAGCTTACAATTTAGATTCTTGACCTGTGTCTAATCTTCAAACTGCCAAAATACTTCTGTGTTCACTCCACAGGAAATGTGACTTTTTTAGTAGCAGATCAACCATTTATCCCTCATTTTGGCATTCACTGTCCAGAGGACAAAAAGAATTTATAGGCTGTGTTTAAAATTTAATGAGGGCTAGTGCTGATTTAAAGCCTACAAAAATGTATGAATATAACCAGTTACCAGTTACTGTTCTTCTTTTACTCATGCCCCATCATTTTTTTCCAATATTTCTCTTAGATGTTAGAAAGAAAAATTGGGTGGTCCCATCCTAAAATCAAGTCTTTAAGTCAACAGTAAAGCAATAAAGATTCCCATAACTAGAGTGTGGACCCCACCATTCTTACATCACCTTTTTTTAACATGCAGCATCTTGCAGTTGCTTCAGGCTGAGGCAGAGTGCTGGCCATCATTAGGGGAATGATATGGGTTTGGGGATTTATATGCAGCTGTTAATGAAGTCCATCAGAGGACAGGCTGGGGAATTGAGAATACCACTCAAAAAATATTAAAATTAAACCAACCTATCATGTCCTGTTAAAGTGCATAAACTAGTATTACTGTGGTGCCTCTAGGTATGTTTCCTAGTATTCAAGTGTGATCCTTTGTGCCTGTAAAAGTACTTCAGACTAAGACTATATACAAAATGTGTTAGCTTTTCTCCAAATCATGGTTAAGCTGCAAACCCTATCATTCTGGAGTTAAATGGTAAAGTCTCTACTGGTCTTAGCATAGCTACCTAATCAGTGTTAAGTGACAAACAATGAAACCAGAGGCGGACTGACAACTCATGGGGCCCCCGGGCAATAGGGGATCATGGGGTCCCTGTGTCCTTGCCCAAACTCAAAAAAGCCTATGAAAAAGGTACCAGGGGCATCTCATGGTGCCCCCTACTGACCCCGGGCCCTCAGGCAGTGCCCGAGTTTCCAAATGGGTCAGTCCGCCCCTGAATGAAACAGTAAATCTACCACCACAAGTTAACATTTCAAGCTGCAGATAGTAGTTTGCATTCATCAATCTGATGATTCCTGAGGTAAAAACTATTGGAAATTACCCAAACATTTTCATGTATGTGGCCCATAGTGCTGGGAAGGAGTAGGTTTTCATCTTAATTTGTAGAGGAGTCAAGGTCCTGCATACAACCTATGTCTATGATCTAGGGTTCTCAGCAGGTAAAATGACAATATTAGAAAAGAAGTACAGATACTTTCTGCACGCACCAAGTGTTTTAATTGTGTATTAATGTCAGTTTTGTGCACTTGGTGGAAATGATAGGTTCCCATTAAATTTTAAAACAATGGTGAAAGTTGAAGTAAATAAATAAACTGCTGCAGATGTATAGTGCAAGGAACCAAAGGTGTATGCACTTCCTACAGCAGCCCCTATTATCCTGCTTTTACTTCTGAATACTGTCAGAGCATCTGCTACCTCCCCCACCCACTCATTTCTATTGGCCTATCACTATGTTACTGTGTCAGACAGCTTTTGTTTAATTCAAATGGGTTTTGAGTTCCCATACAAGTCTATAAGTATGTGAAACCCACTTGAAATAGATCACATGCAAGTCACCTATGAATAAATCTGGAAAGATTTCAGAAACACCTCAAACTAATGTTATTGACACTAGCACAAAACCTATCAACATAGGACCTAAGATGTGCTAACAGGAATGAAGCAAGAAGGAGTGGGGTGGTAAAAAGGGGAACTATTTTTAATTAGTTATTTTTAACTTAAAAAGAAATAACTTGAGTCCCAGGTACCATTTTATGAAATGACAGAAGGGGAGTGGCTACTTGTTCCCGCACCATTTTAAAATGGCACCTGCACCCCTGTGAGTCCTGGTGGCATCTACTGCTGAAAACATCTGCCGGTCATTGACAGATGGGCTCCAGTGCTAATCTCAGGAGCTTAATGAGTTCAATCTACAGAGCACTCTTATGGAAAGAATGTGTCAGTGCTACTCACCTTTCTAAATTAAGCATTCTATGGTATGTGGCCTTGCGTACTCCAGGACTGCAATCAGCAGCCTCCTGACTGGACAAGCAATACATTTGCAAGCTATCAGCTAAGCTCCTGGCACATTTGTGCTATTTCTGCTATCCAGCCTGTATACTCCATTTGATTCCTGTGTACCATCTTCTGTTTTTTTTCCTGTTTAGTGTTTGTTGCCCATCCTGACATTTGGATTAATCCTAGTTAACTGTATCTACTACCTTCCTTGACCTTCAGCTGTGACCTGGTTATTCTTGTCTGCTGCCTACCCTGATCTCTGACCTGCTTCTATTAGCTGTGTCCACAGCTAGCCCTGACCTCCAAACTGTTTTCACTTACCTCCAACCTATGGTCTGTATTACTAGGAGCAGCATGAAGCTGGGGGTCAAAACCAGGGTCAGCAGCAGTGAAGCCTAAACCTTCATGAGGGAGTCCCTGGTGAATCCCAACTGGCTCTTAAACTCTGTGCCCTGCAGAATCCCATGTCACCTGCTTTCTCATGAGACTATCCTGGTGTTTCAGTAAGTCCTTGGTAAGCCTACTGTCTTTCCCCTACAGTGTAGCTAGAGGATAAACATTGGTGTAGATGGCATCCTGATGCAATGCTTTTGCATTATATTTATAATAGAACTGTAGTTACATCACTCAGCATGCACACAACACTTTCTGGTGGTACCAAGGCTTAGTCGGAGCTACTGAAGCTCTTTCCAGCCTCTTCTTGAAGCAGTAGACCACTGCTATAGTAAGCTGCTGTTGGCTGATTTTTTTTTGCACAGCTGCACTAACCACATCCAGACACCCCCATGGAAAAGGAAAAATGTAAAAAAAAATTAAAAAACATGTTAAAATGGAAAAATAAATACATATACAGTGCATGTATGTGTGTGTGTGTGTGTGTGTGTGTGTGTGTGTGTGTGTGTGTGTGTGTGTGTGTGTTTGACACAAGTTACTAGTGTGCTAATTTGTTCCCTTGGTAATTGACTTTAGGAGCCCATAGATGATATATGTTTTTTATTGTTCAACCAGTGAATTAAACAAAAAAAAATACTTGATACTCCTCTCCTCACATTTGATGACGATGAGGGAGTTCTCCTGCTGTGCTTTGTATTTTGACAGCACGGAGACTTCCTTGGCATCTAAATACAATGATCAGTGTTGGCAGCTATAAACAGCGACACTGATTAAGTGGCAAAAATCCGACTGGGCAGTTGTACACAGGGGCGGACTGACCATTTGGAAACTCGGGCACTGCCCGAGGGACCAGGGTCAGTAGGGGGCCCCATGAGATGCCCCTGGTACCTTTTTCATAGGCTTTTTTGAGTTTGGACAAGGACAGAGGGGCCCCATGATCCCCTATTGCCCGGGGGGCCCCATGAGTTGTCAGTCCGCCCCTGATTGTACAGAAGTACATTGTACAACCACGCTGCCCATACATGAATAAAAATGTATTGCTGAACCAACCTGATTTCGAACCATGTATGGCTGGCTTTACTCTTTAGTCTTATCTTGTGTAACGCATTCACTTTGAATTTTACCATTCTGATATGCTATATAAAAGTTACACTTATCTAATATCATATTAATCAGCAGACTTTTTTGATTATATTTTGGGGTAAATATAAATGGGGTGAACAACTTATGTAAACATTGTATTTAAAAAAAAATAGAGGAATATAATTTTTTTCTAATTATTTGATGCTAATTTTTTCTAATAGAAACCAAAGAAATAAAAATATGCGTATCCAAGTCTGCTGCCAAATTGAAACCCTGTATATACTGAAAAAATGACATACTCTGCTCCAAAAAATTAATACTTTGAAAACACATCAGATCTCAATGGAGAAAAATATCATGCTGGATATCTATACTGATATGGACTGTGTAATGTGAATTGGGTAAATGTAAGGATGCCCCATCGTTTGAAGGAAATTAAAATTATCAACCTACAGAGGACTGATTTCAAAGACACCCCGAAAATCAAAGTGAAAAAATTATGCAGCAGGCTAGTCCATTTTGTTGAAATTTCATTGCAACAACTCAATATGGTACTCAGTAGTTTGTATGGCCCCTACGTGCTTGTATGCATGCCTGACAACCTAAGGGAATGCTCCTAATGAGATGACGGATGGTGTCCAGGGGTATTTCTTCCCAGATCTGGACCAGGACATCACTAAGATCCTGGACTGTCTGAGGTGCCATGGGGTCAACTAGCACTGTCCAGACAGGGGTCAGGGGTTCTGCATCCTCCTAGAGCAGAAAGAAAACTCCTCCTACAAGCTTTAACCAGTGTTCTGCTGGACACTAATAGAAGTCACAAGACTGCTTTAACTGCTGATGAGAAAAGGTATATAGCAGTATATATTTACTAAAATAATTGCACTTCCATGTCCCTTGTACTGTGGGAGACCAGATATAGTGAATGTAGTGTCCTAGGTTTAGTAACACTTTAAGTGGTAAAATAAAAATAAATCTATAAAACACCCTAAAGCTGAAGTTTAATTTCCCTTTAATTGTCTTCTATGGTTCATCCCTCCCTCATTCATCAGTATGCTAATGACATTTTTAAATGTAACCTTTCTGTTTACATTACACACCTTTTTTTAAATCCAATGATTTAATCACTAGAACTTTGCGCTACTTTGAGCAATGCAGGCTGATCATGGCTGGTGGAGGGTCTGTACTGTGCATAGCTTCCTGAAAACAGCAGAGTGCCCTAGGTAAAACCCACATGTAATGATGAGCTTGCATGACCAATAGAACTGAAACCCAAAGACTGAAAGAGGCAGGCCAGGGACTGTTCAGCTAGGGAGGAAAGACCTAAATAATGATGGATGTCCTCTTGGCAGAAAATGAGGAAGGATCTATCTGACTTGCAGCAGCTTCTACTGTAAGCTACAAGAAGCTTAGAGTGTGCAGTGAAATCAAACTAAGCATTTTTAGTACAGGAAAAAAGCTTGTGTATATGTGGAAAAACTAAAGTTAACCAGTTCAAGTCCACGCTATAGCAGTTTTACTACTACAGGCGGACTCTCTGAGCAAAATCACATATATACGTGATCTGCACTCCCGAGTCACCAAGGCGTGGGCATATGCACCCCACTGGTGCTGTGATTTGGTACAGCACCAATCACTCACCAGATCTAGGCCAATGATGTTCTGCTGATCGGCCTGTGCCTGTGACAAAAGATGTGACACCCGCTTTTTGTCCCTCCTGTCTTGGCTAACCTGGTCTCTGCCTCAAGGACTACTTCAGTCGCTATCACACACTAGTGGGGTATTAGTGTAGGGTACAGGGTCTCAAAATATATTAGGTAGTCAGGAAACTGGCTTTGAGAGACTCTACAATCACAGTCTGCAAGGTTACAGTGTAAGTTACCAAAAAAGTTACAAAGTTGCAGTTCTATTGTTACTGTTTGAATTGTTAACTGTTGTTGTTTTCTTTGCAGGAATACATTTCAGCTCCAGCACCGATCTGTTTAGTCTGACAGCAACAGGGTGTGCTTTCAGAATATGCATAAGTGTGTGCAGTGCTGTTGGATGAGATTTATCATCCGCAGTTTAACTAGTTGCCGACCGCAGATAGCCGAATGACGGCTGCACTGCGGCCGGCCAGTTCTGGGTGGACGTCATATGACGTGCTCCCAGAACGCGCTCTCCTGCGCGCCCCAGGGGGCGCGCACCCGGCGATCTCCATGATCGCTGTGTCCTACGGACACAGCTGATCACGTGATGTGGTAAAAGGCCAATCACAGCGGCCTTTTACCACATGATCAGCGGTGTCCAATGACACGCTGATCACAGGGAAATGCAAGTGCTGGTTCTCGGCTGCACTTTCCTCACGCTGTCAGATCGTGAGGAAAGTACTGCCGAGAACCGGCAGTTGTCAGAGCGAGGATCGGCACCGATCATCAGGGCACTGATGATCAGTGCCCTGATGATCGGTGCCCAGCAGTGCCACCCGCAAGTTCCGCCCACCTGTGCCCAGCAGTGCGCCCACTAGCTCCGCCCACCTGTACCCAGCAGATCACCCACCTGTGCCCAGCAGTGCACCCACCTGTGCCACTCTGCAGTGTCACACACCTGTGCCCAGAAGTGCCACCTACCTGTGCCCAGCAGTGCCACACACCTGTGCCCACCAGTGCCACCCACCTGTGCCCACCCACCAGTGCTTCCCACCAGTGCCACCCACCAGTGCAGCCCAGCAGTGCTGCCAGTCAGTGCCACCAGTCAGTGCCCAGCGGTTGTGCCAGTCAGTGCCGCCAGTCAGTGCCCAGCAGTGATGCCAGTCAGTGCCGTCTATCAGTACCCATCATCAGTGTCACCTATCAGTGCCGCCTATCAGTGCTGCATATTAGTGCCGCCTATCCGTGACACCTCATTAGTGCTGTCTATCAGTGCCGCCTATCCGTGCCACCTCATTAGTACTGCCTATCAGTGCCCTTTAGTGCTGCCTATCAGTGCCCATCAGTGCCGCCTATCAGTGCCCATCAGTGCTGCCTCATCAACGCACATCAGTGAAGGAGAAAAATTACCTGTTTGAAAAAATGTATAATAGAAACAAAGAAACTTTTTTTTTCTTTCAAATTTTTTGCAATTTTTTTATTTATAGCGCAAAAAGTAAAGCGCCCAGTGGCGATTAAATACCACCAAAAGAAAGCTCTATTTGTGAGAAAAAAATGATCAAAATTTCATATGGGTACAATGTTGCATGACCGCGCAATTGTCAATCAAAGTGCGGCAGCGCTGAAAGCTGAAAATTGCCCTGGTAAATAAGGGGGTATAAGTGCCTGGTAGGCAAGTGGTTAAAAAAAAACATATATGCCCAAGCATGGGGTCCTGGGGTGGTTAGTGGGTGGATCGCTCGTATGCCTCAGCATATATATTTTTTGGCAGACATTTCTTCATCCACATCGATCTTTTTTTTTGTTTAGACATTTCATGTATGCCCAACATTAGAAGTGTGTGGCTGCAGGGGGGGTGTATATCCTAATGGTGGGCATACCACACACTTTTTTTGGCAGAGATTTCTTCTCTTTGTTTCATCCAGCCCACAGGCTGCATAAAAAAAGAACAACATATACAGTGCATGCCCAACAAGGACCAGCGATGTGCTGTTACATCACTGGACTTTGAGTGGTTATACCAGGATGATGCCTGCAGCTTCAGGCATCATCCTGATATCTTTTTTTCAGCCAGCGGTCAGTTTTCATGTACAAGCAATCCTAGTGGCTAATTACCTACTGAGTTGGTTTTACAAGTAGTGGGATGTGTAAATCTAAAGTGGTAGCAGGTAAAGGCTTTTAAAGCATTAGCTATGGATATTAACAATGTACGTAGTTTATTGCTGTTGCATGGGGAGCACCCAGTTTTAAAGCATGTCATGTTTGGTATCTATTTACTCTGCATAACATCATCTTTTATACTTACAAACAATAGGCCAATATATTATGTTTTTGTGCATTCAATTTCAAAAAAGTGTATTTTTCCCAATAAAAATTGTGTTTGAAAAATCGCTGCGCAATTACTGTGTAACATAAAAAATTGCAACACCCACCATTGTATTCTCTAGGGCCTCCGCTTTAAAAAATATATAATGTTTGGGGGTTAAAAGTAATTTTTAAGCAAAAAATACAGATTTTTTTACATGTGGACAAAGAATGTCAGAAAAGGCTTGGTCTTCAAGTGGTTAGAAGAATGGGTGATGTGTGGCAGAAGTTTCTAATGCTTGGCATAAAAGGCAAGGATAGCACAACCCCCTTCCCTCCAAATAAACCCCTCTGGATATCCCTGAGAACAAGAATGGGGTAGTTCATACACCATCATGAAACTCAAAGCTTCTCTCGGAACCCACCAGGTCCCCATGCCGCATGTGTCCCTTCTTCCGTCGCTTCTTCCGAGTGGAAATGCTGCCCCCCCTGCAAAATGCTACCCTAGGCAAATGCCTTGTTTACCTTGTGGTAAATACACCCCCGATTATACCCCAAAATACATTTTGCTACTTCTCCCGATTATGTGGTTACCACATGAGAGACTTTTTGGCAGTCTAGCCACGTACAGGACCCCAAAATCCAAAAGACAACTTTAGGCTTTTAAAGGGCTTTATTTTCTCATTACAATTCCTGACCACCTATCACAGTTTTGGAGGCCCTGAAATGTCAGAATAGTTTACCCCCCCCCCCCCAATGACCCCTTTTTGAAAAGTAGACACTCCAAGGTATTTGCTAAGAGACATGGCGAGTATTTTTCAGATCTCATTTGTTGCCACAAGTTTTTGGAAAAGTAAAAAAGAAAATGAACATGAGATCTGCAAAATATTTAGCATGCCTACTAAATTCCTTGGTTGCCTACTTTCCAAAAATGGGTCATATGGGGGGAAAGGGGGAGGGGGTGCTATCTTGGCATTTCAGGGTCTCTGAAACTGTGAAAGTGAAATGAGGAGGAAATTAAGTACCTTTTGGATTTCAAAGGGGTAATTGGATTTCGAGCTCCTGTATGCAGCTAGGCTCCCAAAAAGTCTCACACATGTGGTTTTCCAAAAACATATGGTAAAAAATAAAGTATTTCATTGACTCAACATGCCTCTCAGCAAATAGTTTTAGGTAACTACTTTCTAAAAAGGGGTCATGGGGGTGGGGGATTTGTTCTATCTTGGCATTTCAGAGCCTCTGAAACTGTGATAGATAGTGAGGGAGTGAAATGAGGAAGTTAAGCACATTCAGGCTTTCAAAGGGGTCATTAGATTTCGGGCTGCTGTATTCAGCTAGGCTCCCAAAACGTCTCTCACACTTGATATCCCATACTCAGGAGAAGTAGCAGAATATATTTTGAGGTGTAATTCCACACATACCTATGGCATATGTGAGCAATATATCATTTAAATGACAGCATTGTGTAAAAAAAATTTAATTTTGCAAAAGCTTCGCATAGCCTCTGAAACTGTGACAGGTAGTTAGGAAGTGAAATGAGGATATTTCACACCTTCAGGCTTTCAAAGTGGTCATTGGATTTTTGGATTTCGGGCACCTGTATGTGACTGGGCTACCAAAAAGTCTCTCACATGTGGTATACTCGGGAGAAGTAACCAAATATATTTTGGGGCATATTTCTACATACACCCATGGCATGTGTGAGCAATATATTTTTGTCATTTTCCAAAAACTCTAAAAAGGGTGTTTATACTGCCCTGGCATTTTAGCACCTCAAGAAATGTGATAAGCAGTCAGAAAGTAAAAGCTGCATAAATTACAGTATCTATACCATAGTTTATAGACGCTATAACTTTCACAAACAATTAATATACACTTATGGAGATGTATTTGTTACTTAAGACATGTAGCAGGATACATTTTGGCCTAAATTTATGACTAAATTTGAGTTTATTGGAATTTTTTTTTATAACAGAAAGCATAAAATGTTTTTTTTCAAACTTTTCTGTGTTTTTTCATTTATATCAAAAAAATAAAAATCCCATTGGTGATCAATTACCACCAAAAGAAAACTCTGTTTGTGTGAAAAAAATGACATACATTTTGTTTGGGTGCAGTGTTGCATAACTGCATAATTATCAGTTGAAATAGCAGAGCACCGAATAGCAAAAAATTGCCTGGTCAGGAAGGGGGGTAAATCTTGTAGAGGGCAAGTGGTTAAGACTGAAATTCAGCTTTAAAGTGGTTGCAAACCCTTACTTATACCCTGTGAAGTGATTGGCTTTAGGTGATACACAGAATGAAACAAGTCCTCCTTCATATGGTCCTCCTTCTAATCTAATATAATTTTAATCAGCAGACTTTGTTGATTATATTTTGAGGTAAATATAAATGGGGTGTGCAGTCTATGTAAATATTGTATTGCAAACAATTACAAGAATATGATTTTTTCTTTCTATTTTTTTCTGCTAATTTTTCCCAATAAATATCCAAAATATCCTAGCCTGCTGCCAAATTGAAGCTGTTTATCTGCAGCCTACTCTTCTCTACATTTGTTCAAAGGTCATAATTTATAAAGCTTGTCTGAACTGTCAGAAAAAAGGGGCGGAGAGCTGAAAAATTACACAATGCAGATCTCATTGAGGAGAGCTGATTGGAGGGAAGGGAAATCACCCTCACACAGCCCACAGGAACAGAGCTGAGGCTGTCAATTACAGGCTGTGTGCTGGAGGTGACTCCTCTGTCACCTTTTTACCTTTTGGTGGCAGGAAAACTTGTCAGAAGTGACTCATGCTGAAAGCAGAGGAACGAGGAATCATACAAAAATTACTCTTAGTGCTCTTAAATGAGACAAGTAGACACAATAAAGGGATATGCTGTGCTCAAATTTCATGTCTGAGGATTACAACCACTTTAAACTAATAATAAAAAGCCAACAATCATCCCATATCAATAATTTTTACAAACAGTATGATGTATCTAGCATATATACTTCTATATTACAACACTTCAACCTATAATATCCCAGAAAAGTGATCTGCCTTCACCCTTGAAGGCCAACTGAATAATATATATGTGACTTTTCTATGAACAAAATACATCAAATCAAAATGCAAAACCAAAGTAATATAAAATATAAAATTATAAAAATTATCTGCAAAAAAATTATCTGCAAAAATTATGTCCAAAGTCCCACCGTGTCCAAAAATAAAATAAAATCAAAAAGTCCCAAAAGGAATCCCCAAAAAAATAATCCTCACGAAGTGTAAACACAAAAAACTTAAACTTTTTCTTCTTCTTTCATCACCAAAACCTTCTTAATACCCGCAAATTCTGATATTCATATACCTCAAAAAAAGAAAAAAACTCGACATAGTGTCATACCTTAAATAATGAAAACACACGTGCCACTCGCTGTGCAGCATGCAAGATATTAACTAAACGTGTAAACTCAAACCAAGTGTCAAAACACATAAAATAAGTGAAATGACAGTATGAGTGAAAGCACATACAATATGTGAAAAACCACTCCACAAATAACACTCTAATATATAAAAGGGTGATAAATGAAAACCAAATCCCAACTCTCCAACTCTAATATGGATGGGTAATTACCCTATAGCAGAAACAGTAAGGCAGATTAACCACTCTGGGTTACACTCTCCTCTCCTCGATTTTCTCCCAGGACTAGGGTCACTTCCTCCACTTTCCTCCAGAGAACCAGTCAGTGAAACAGATAAGTGAAATGGCAATATGAGTGAAAGCACATTCACCCTATAGTAGAAAACAGCAGGGCAGACTAACCACTCTGGGCCACACTCTCCTCTCCTCGACTTTCTCCAAAGACTAGGGTCACTTCCTCCACCTTCCTCCAAAAACCAGTCACAGTGTAAGAGATAATCTTCTTTATTGATAACTCACATAAAATTTGTGGTAACAGCTCCTCCTCACAAGCAGTGTGCACATGGACAGGTTCAGGGAAACATAAACCGCATGTTCCCACTTCCAAAATGGGCGCGATCGCACTTCCGGTCAAACGTCGATGCGTATGACGTCACGTGTCCTGACGCGTTTCGTCACTTCCTT